GGAAAACGAAACAACTCTTAATCATTCCAAGCAGCCTGTGACAGTAAAGTAATCAAGCGGGTTGGGCGGATAATTATTATCCTGCAATTATGTAATACATTAATTTAGAATGGACCCTCGACTGGACCTATATACTTATAATCGTCATTGCTGACGATACAAAAAGCGTGTGCAATTGGAAATTTATTAACGGCATAAGGCCGTTCTTCTTTTAAGATGTTTACTATGTACCTCTTTTCTGTATACGTATACATACCACATATGGCATCACTGCTGATGGTGCTGCTTTCTTGCTGAAGCTGAAACGTACCGGGGTGCGCGCCGCGTATTTATGACGGTTCTGTTCATTAGAGAACAACGGCATACGGTCGAATCGGCCTACAAACACGTAAACGTTTACGTACGCATGCGCATTTCTTATATTTTCTATTTTTTATACACGTAAAAGATTCTTTACGTCTACGTATACGTGCCAGGAGCGGCCGACTCGACGGTATGCCGTTGTTCTCTATTGTTACAGCGGTATCCACTTATTAACATTTCGCCTCATTTTTTCTGTTTTTTTTTTGTTCCGCAACAGAAACTTTTTTTGAATAATAATGACACTGGTGTTTTTTTATCTTCGTAACACAAAGTCACGTCGTCCGCGGTTAGTCAGTTGGATCGTCCGTTGGATGGGACAAGACTACAAGACTACGTCGCCGAGTGCCTTTATTCCCACCCACGGCCACAGCAATGGTTGGTTAAGGTAGGATTTCCTAACTGCGTCGAAACGTATGCGATAAACGCGAGGTACTGGTTCAGTGCAATTAAGTAAAACTGATTTCCTATGTGAGCGTCTGACGCTCAGTGTCCGGCAATCGCATGCGGTTATCGCATGACTGCCCTCGAGAGGAGTCTAGACGCACATGCTTTGCGTTTTCATAGTGAAAAGTATACGGAATATGTATGCGTTCTTTTTTTATTAATATTTCATAATAAAAACAAACATATCTACAGTGGAAAAATCAACTGTAATGAAACATAAAATGTTACAATTTTCGCCTGAAGAGGATGCGCTGTTTTCTGAATTGTCTAAATGTTTGTTCGTCGTATCGAAAATGACCTCTTATTAGTAAATTTGCATAACCCTCAGTTTCCCTTTTTTAAATAATTCTTTTTCGGGGTTTCTTTTTTCCTTTATTATTACTACATGAAAAAGTATCATTGCTTCTTCATCCTCCTCTTCTTGTAACAATAATAAATTTACGATATTCTCCATGTTCAAAACTACAAACTGTTTAAAATATCAAAATTTGGTACAACAAATTGCATAACAATTAAAATATTTTTTTCCAGAACATTATTTTAATATGAAACGCTGATAGAAAAACACAACCTGGTGCGTTTGCCGCCGCGCGTTCAACGCATCTAAAAACGCACAAGTCAGACGCATGCGTCTCGACGCAGTTAGGAAATCCTACCTTTATTTCGCCCTCTCGCTCGCTTCCCCTTCTTCGCCTTTATGCGCGCAACGCGAATCCACACAGCGATGCATGCTTCAGTCACCGCTTCAGTGCTGTAAATATTGCCGAGAGCGCGAGTTCGTGTGTATCCTACACCACGTGGTGGCTAGCCGGTGCGATTTTTAGTATTGTTATATTATCTCTGTGTGGAAGCGTTTTTTATCTCTGAAAACATAATTAATATAATAGAAACTGTGAACGTGCTCGAATATGACGTTTCTGCCGAAGTAACGTTAGAAAGTCTTGTCGATCATACTGTCCAAAGAATCACTGAAGTTCAGAAAGATGTAATAGAACAACTAAAATTAACTACTCAATTAAGAAATACCAGAATGACGTATAAATGGGGTTGTGACGGAAGTTCTGATCACGCTACATATAGACAGAAATTCACAGAAAACAATGAAAATATTACCGACGAATATATGATGCGATTTGTCTAGTTCCGTTACAACTAAACACTGAGGATACTATAGTATGGCAGAACCCTCGTCCATCGTCTACAAGATTTTGTCGGCCAATTTAACTTCTCTTCAGTAAATGAACAAACACGAAACATCACTGCAACAAAGATAGATGATCCAATTATGACTATTGACCACAAATTTTGTTTGACGATGATCGATGGAAAAACATTTAGTGCAATTTCGGACTCCTCGACGCAGACATGCGGAATCTGCAGAGCAACCCCAAAAATAATAAATAACTTGAAAAAGCTGAAGGCGAAAACTTTTATGAATATGGGTTGTCGACTTTACACGCATGGATCCGTTGCTTTGAGTGGATATTGATTACACGTTTCATACAGACTTGACTGCAAAAAGTGGCAAATACGCAGCCCGGAAGAAAAAAAGATTGTGGAAGAAAAAAAGAAGAAAGTAATCGATGACATGAAAAAGAAAATGAATATTCTAGTGGATATACGAAAACCCGGCTATGGTACAGCAACACAGTCAGACGAAACCAGAGTTTAGCATCATCTATTACTGGTATCGATGAAATGCTGATCAAGAGACTAGCCATTATTTTAAAAACAATGCCATGTGGTTACGCAGTCGACGTTGAAGCCTTTCGAAAATACTCTTATGAAACTGCTAAAGTATATTTAGATCAGTACTCATGGTACTATAGGCCATCTAGTATTCATAAGATTTTGTTACATGGTGCGGACATAATGAAAGTTGCTGTGTTGCCAATTGGAATGCTTTCAGAAGAAGCAATGGAATCCCGAAATAAGGACTTTAGGAATTATAGGAAATTTCACACGCGGAAAATGTCTTGTGAAAAAACCATGCGTGACTTATTAAATACCCTAATGTATTCCTCTGATCCAGTGATTTCTTCCATTTCAAGATCCACATAAAAACAGATACGTTGCTCTTCGGAGCCCTTAGGTGAAGAAGTAAGAATGTTGCTCTGTGGCCCGCATTTACCAACCCTAAATCAGTTTGTTAATACAAATTTGAGGTCTGATAGTGAGTGAAGATATTTTAGTATGTATGATGTTAATTTTCTCAAATTATCTTTAATTTCTGAGTTATTATGGACAACCGGTAGGTAATTAACCCCCCTATTGTTTTCTTGTTTAGATATAGTAGTTGTAACATTTAATTTGTTTTATTTAACTAGGATTACAAGATTATTGTTAAATTTTTGCAACATTATACAGTGCCATCCAAAGAGTTCGCAACAAATGGGATTTTTTTAATTATTAATATATAGGGGAAAAAAATACTGCAAATCAACTCAGCATAAAAAATGACAAAAAAACACACTATGACAGATGTCACGTGACAACTGTCATGGCGGCAAATTTAAAAACTCTACCTTAAATATGCAAAAAGTGAGGTTAAGACACCCTATATCAAAAAATGTCAAAAAACAAGTTTTTCACAATTCAATTTTACCCTCATGTGGCAAATTTACAGAAAAATATGACGATAAAAAATATCAGTTTTATGGACTTATTTTATGAAAACCAACAGCAAAGATTTTTATTTAAAAAAATTTTTTGGAATTTTCAGATATTTTTTAAGTCGTCATATTTTTGTGAAAATTTGCACATAGGGGTAAAATTGAATTGTGAACAACTTTTCTCTTTGACATTTTTTGACAAAGGAACGCCTAACCTCACTTTTCGTATATTTAAGGTAGAATTTTTAAATTTGCCGCCATGACAGTTGTCACGTGACATATGTCATAGTGTGTTTTCTTGTCATTTTTCATGCTGAGTTGATTTGCCGTATTTTTTTTTCAATATATTAATAATAAAAAATGTTCTCATTTGTTGCGAACCCTCAGGATGACCCTGTAGTACTTTTATGCAAAAAACTGCATTTCAAACTAAATAATAATAATTTTAAACATTTGTAAACACTTTTTCGTTACATGTATGATAATACAAAATAGAAAGCATTTAATAAAAACGCTCATTTAATTTTCGGAGGCTGTTATTGATATTACTCACTGTGTGACGCGGCATCCTGAAAACATGGAACAACCCGAGCAACTCCGTTTCCTTTTACCCAAAGAAAACAAATCTCCAGACAGGACTTCCACATCAAATTTCGATGACATTGGCCAACTTTTGGGACTGGAACTTGGCCGCGACGTTTCGGGACTGGAATGACAGTCCCGGAATGAGTAGTAGGAGATATTAGCCGAATCGACTCCTCCACATGCGCAGTGCGCTTGACCTTGACATATGTGCCTTTCAAACCTCCTTGAGTGATTCCAGAAAGAACCTTGTTGTGAGACCTTAAACGACCTTTAAGGTTGACTTTCAGATGTATTTGAAATGCGTTTGTGTACCCTTCACAAGGACCTTGATGTATGATCTTGAAAGACCAGATGTCTTTGGAATGAATCGAGCGTTTCGATGCTCTTAGGAGAATATGGGTGGGGGGAGTCTTATTTAAACTCTGACATGCCTCTACAGAATCTTATTGTAACGTATATATTTTTTGGCGTGTGTAGCATTGTTTAGGTTGTTCAGTAATTACTTATAAAGTTTACATTAACAAAATGTTATATATATATATATATATATATATATATATATATATATATATATATATATATATATATATATATATATATATATATATATATATATATATATATATATATATATATATATATATGTGAAGCTAGTGGTAAATCGTTTACGCGAAGTTATAATATGCTGCGCCATAAAGCCGAATCGTGTAAAAAAGCAACCGATCCTGGACCTTCAACACCTAAACGTCAAGCTCTACGCCCATCAATATCAAATGTTCAGCACACCTGTACGTCATGTAATATCACAATTCCCAGCAATCAGATATCCCTTTATGAGAGAACATTGCAGCATAGGAATAATGCAGCAATTCCGTTATCAGAAAACGTCCAAATTATTCAAACTGCATTTAAATGTAGGATCGTTAGTTATCGAGTATGTGCAGTTAATGTCTACATAGATTACCAAATGTTCTTTAATGAAATAAAATCCAGTGTTAGACCTATTGAAAAACAAAATTTTGGCTCATAACAGCATCAAAGTAAACATGGAAGTATTTGGTTCTTATATTTTACCATCCACTGAAAATTATAGTAGCGAGAAATCATTTAATACTGCTAATCAAATTATTGATGGGTCTTCAGACTTAGATGAGAAATATTTATGGTTTGTCGAGAAATTGATGACACAAGCATCTGAATTTCTTGAAAAAGACTCAGGTATGTTCTAGATACTAAAGTTAAATAAGATGTGTAGAGAATAATATTTCATTTTATTTTAGGTTGGGCCTTACAAAAAATTATGTACTTAGAAATTAACGTTAACAAGTTTAACCCTATCGGTGGATCTTCATTCGTTGAGTTGCCAGCGCCCATTCGGAGAAAAGAAGCCGTTGTCAATGTCAGAAACATGGATCAGTATTGTTTTCCGTGGGCCATAACGTCAGCCTTGTGTCCGCCTAACTCTAAAATTGCAGAACTATCTTCATATCCACATTTTTCAACGTTGTTAAATATAGCAGGTTTGGATTTTCCAGTGAATTTGCGCGATATAAAAACCTTTGAACAATTGAATAATATATCAGTTAATGTTTATGGTCTCGAAAGCAAAATTGATAATAATAAAATAGTTTGCGAAGTTGTAGGTCCATTGCGGTACACAGAAAGGAAATTGGTGGTACATGTGAATTTACTATTACTAAAATAAACTTAAAAATAAAAAAAAATAAACTCTCATCAACATAAGCTTTACTTTTGCGATGGCTGTTTATTACATTTCAGTTCAGCACATGCTTTGGTATTGCATCAGAATCATGACTGTAATCACGTGTACACATCAATACCTTCTGTGACCCATAAGCTTGATAAATACGGTAAATGCGTTCCCGAAAACATTCTAAAATTGGAAAACATCGAAAAACAATTAAGGGTACCGTTTGTAGTATATGCCGATTTTGAATCAATTCTTAAACCGATTGCTACTGTTGCGCCAAGTTCAACAAAATCATATACATTAAAAAGCGTCAAACACGGACCTTATTCGTTCGCTTATTTGATAAAATGTTCTTTCGATGATAGTTTTTCTAAATTTGAGACGTATCGCGGTAAGGAAGCAGCTAAAACTCTTTAGCTGCTTCCTTATAGCTGTAGTTTCTCACATAGAATATGATTTAAGAAGTATTTATAACATATATCTAAAAGATTTTAAGAAGATGATCCCATTGAGCAATAAAGAAAAACTTGAGTTTATTAACACATGTTTTATATGTGAAAGATTATTTGATATTCAAGAGCAAAAAGTTAGGGACCACTGTCATCTCACCGGAAAATACAGAGGTGCAGCTCACGGAACCTGTAATATAAATTTTAAATTACCCAACTTTGTACCTATTATCTTTCACAATTTAAGCGGCTAGGATTCTCATATGTTCATTAAGGAATTATGTCGTCATGGAGACAAAATTGATATTATTGCCCAGAGTAAAGAAAAGTATGTCTCGTTTACAAAAAGTATTTACGTTGACGATTATGTAGGTAGTAAGGGTGAGGTAAAAAAGAAATATTTAAAATTGAGGTTTATAGACAGTTTTAAATTTTTATCTACATCTCTTTCAAATTTGGGAAATGGTTTATCAATTGAAAACTTTAAGGAAACAAATAAGCATTTTCCGGAGAAAGAAAAATTTGACATAATGCGTCAAAAAGGTATATTTCCGTATACATTTATGGATAGTTTGAAGAAAATGAATAACCGTTCACTTCCTACTAAAAATGAATTTTACGATGATTTAAATAATGAACATATTAGCGATGTGGACTATCAAAGAGCAAAGGATGTCTGGCGCTTATTCAATTGCAAAACTCTAAGGGATTATTCGGATTTATACTTAAAATCGGATACCCTTCTTCTGTGCGATGTTTTCGAAAATTTTCGCGATACAAGTTTAAAAATACATAAATGGGATCTAGTTTGCCTAGCTTATCATTTGATTCGATGCTGCGCATGACCAAGGTAGAGTTAGAATTGCTAACGGATATTGATATGATTCACTTTTTTAAAAACGGTATTCGTGGTGGTGTAAGTCAGTGTTCGGAAAGAAAACATATAGCAAATAATAAGTTTCTTCCAAATTATAATCCTTCAGAACCTTCATCATTTATTATGTATTTAGACGCAACAAATTTATATGGATATAGTATGTTTCAACCATTACCATTAAGAGATTTCCGTTGGTTAACAGAACGTGAAATAATAGATTTAGACATAATGAATGTTGAAGACGATAGTAAATACGGTTTTGGAAGTTGACATACATTATCCTAAGCACTTGCACGATAAACATTCAGATCTTCCTTTCTTAGTTGAAAATATGTGTATTGGGACTGACCAAACCAAACCAAGCCACCTACGGAAACATCAAAATTAACAAAACTAATTCCGAATTTAAACGATAAAAGAAAATATATTGTTCATTATCAAACACTCAAACAAGCCATAAAAAATGATCTGATAGTAACAGAAATTCATAGGGTATTAAAATTTCAGCAGTCAAGATGGTTAAAAAAATATATCGATTTTAATACAGAACTAAGGAATAAATCTAAAACTAAATTTAAAAAAGACTTATTTAAACTATATAATAATGCCGTTTTTGGAAAAACCATGGAAAATGTTGAAAATCGTAAAGATATTAAATTAGTCACTCATTGGGAAAATAAAGGTAAACGATTAGGAGCCCAGGCTTTGATTGCTCGTCCAAATTTTAAAACCAGCTCAATTTTTACTGAGAATTTAGTCGCAATTCATATGGGTAGACTGAAAATACTATATGATAAACCTATATATACGGGATTTTCAATATTGGATATGTCTAAAGTTGTAATTTATGATTTTTTCTATAATTTTATTAAAAAAAAGTTTGGCGCTGACGCTTCTCTACTGTACAGTGACACGGATTCATTGATATTAAAAATATATACGGAAAATTTTTACCAGATTATGGCTGAAAACCCAACAAAATTTGATACATCAAATTATGCATTTAATAACAACTACAACATTAAGAAAAGCGAATCGGTACTGGGTAGCATGAAAGATGAATTTCCATCTGATCCAATAAAATGCTTCTATGGCACAGGTGCCAAAGCTTATTATGTGGCCTCAGTCAACACTGAAATAAAAAAGGCAAAAGGTGTAAAAAAAACAATAATCGCAAAAGATTTAAGTGTAGACGATTATAAGAAAGTAGTAGAACGTGGTGGCCTTATATTTCGTAAAATGAAATCTTTCAAAAGTGACTTGCATGACGTTTACACGATGATAACCAACCGAGTGGCTCCTAATTCTAGAGATGACAAAATATATCTAATTCCTACGACAACAAAAACTCTACCTTGGGGGCATACAGATATTGAGTTTTATAAAACAAATCCCGATACTAATTTAAATATATTTTTATATATCGCCGAACAGATGCTTCGAGACGAAATAGATGAAAGCGTATAAGTTGAAAAGTCCTATCTGTAGATATTAGATTAGTTTTAATCGAAAATAGAATATGTAAATGCATATAACTGTGTCAATTACGCATTTGTGATTTGTAAGTGTTTAAATTTTTATGTATTCTTTTTGGTAACGTTCAGGGAACACAGCGGCTGACCGGCCGCTGAAACTTTTGCTAAACGGCTGGCTGTTTTTGTGTGAAAAAAGAGACCGCTTAGGCAGCCGCTAACCGTCCCTGAACGCGCCCTTTATATCTTGATGTTAAGGGCTTTTTAAGGTTAAAGTATATAACCGAACATTTAAGATACACTCTGTATAACGTAACTTTACCCTTGAAACATATTGAAGAATAATACTCAAACCGCATGCATCAGGTATAGGGAGAATTTGTAGTGGGGTGTTCGTATATAAAAAGTATCTCAACAGTATAAATTTCATTAGTTTTCCTAGCGAGAGATGTCCGAACATAACCTATTTAATACGCAGACTATAATGGCAAATATAAGTTGTGATGATATCGATTTCCAACTTGAGAGTGAAGAGTTTGATCGCATATTTGCAAAAGTGGTGGAAGAGGATTAAGAAAAAACCGAAAGTGAATATTATATCAAATATTCAGGTGGTTCAGCCTAAACCATCTCCAGTAGGGGGTAAAAACAAACCATCCGGATCAAAGTTGAAGAACATACTGAAGGAGGAGACACCTTATAAGAGAAAAAGTGGTGGTGAAAAACGTAATACTAAGTGCAATAAGGAAAAACAAGAACAGCAACCTCACCACGAGCTGCTCCAACAATTGCAGCAAGAGTCGCAACCGGTTCAACACCCGCAGCAACAGCAGCAGCAAGAAGAGCAGACTTTCGACGACTACTTGAGTGAGGAAGAGCGAAACCTGTTCGCCCAAGTGGTGCGAATAAAGGAACAGTTCTTGGACGAATTCAAGCAAATTGAATTGAGTGTAGTGGAAGCGCGAGAAACACTTGCACTACAACAACTGGAACTTCAGATTAGGGAGGAGCGTCTAAAAAAGTGTGAACATAGAATGAGGACTATATTAAGTCTCTTAAAATAATTAGTGTATTGGTTAAGATAGGAAGTTGTAATTATAGTATTTTTTTTTCAAATGATTTAAAATAAAGGCTATTTACAATAATTATTGTGATTATTTTTTTTTTCGTTACAACAAAAGTAAATACAAATAATACACTTTTTTCAGTGTATATTAATTTAGAACAATTTTAGTTTAAGACGGTTGATTTTTAGTATCCTGAAATACAGTTAATTTATAACAGAAAATATCTCAATAACAAAAAAAAATTGAGAAATAAAGATATTCAGATCTCTTCTTTATTTTAGAATATATGTTTTATAATTGTTTCAGTTTATATTGAGATCACTAGTTATTATTGGCGAAATTCGGCCACCAATAGATGGCGCTAGGATTTTCCAATATGGTGTCTATAACGGTGAACAACAAAATCTTTTCATATTTACAAGACGATTGTCAGTATATTCAACTATATGTTCTTTGATTTTGTTCATAAAAGTTCGTGTAATTTTGTATTTACAAGGTCTGTTACAAGTTGTTAGTACTTTAGATCGTTGTATTAGACTGAGTTTGTAGTGTTGTGATATTTCTGGAAAAAATGCCGAAAATAGAGGTTACTCTATCGGATATTATTGAATACATAGGGAACCGGAGCAGACCACTTAAAGAAGGCGAAGCTCTCTTGAAAGCTGGTCATGTAATATTATGTGGATTAGAGGGATCAAATTCAAAAATGATTAAAAGCTTGTGTTTACAAACCTCTGACCTGACTACTCGACCTCATGAAATAACAATTACATTGAATTGTGATGTAAAACAATGGAGTTGTAGTTGTTCTTGCAAGGCAGGGATGTCAGGTTTCTGCAAACACATTATAGCCACTCTAATTTATGTTAATAGGTGAGTGAACTTCAGTATATTACACACTATTGTAATTTATTTGCCATTTTTATATGATATCTTAAGTCCATTTTATCCAGCTTATGAAGTCTTTTTGTCTGTAGAAATGAGGATTTAGAAGTGGTAAGCTGTACAGATTTGGAGCAAAAATGGGGAAAGGAAAAGAAGGGTGTCCAAGAAACCTATAAGCCTGAGCCATTCAAAGAATTTTGTCACCCAGTGGTGAAGAATAAATACGTCTTTTCTTCATCCTCAGAGGTGGATAGGGAAAATTTTGCTCTTCTTAGCACAGGTATTAATTTATTTTGTTAGGTTGTTATAACTAATTCCCTAGATAATAATTTAATTTAACTATTCTTTTTGGGAAATTAAAAATAATTATAATAGTAAAATAGAATTATGTGTTATATGTAAATAATTATTTATTTAATATTAGCAGATTAGGTACAAAGTTCGGTTTTACATCCAAAAGTGTTCTGGCAGTAAGTTTGACTTCACAATTGAAAGCAGAGTTGAAAGTGCTCTGCTAGGATTGAATAAATTTTCTGCATATTGAAAATGTTTTAGTGTATTGTTTTTGTGTTACTTGATTTTAATATATTTTTCTGAAATTTTTAGGTGTACCAGATTCGGCACTCACCAGATTTCTAGGTCGGTCAACAAACCCTTCTACAACTTTGGCTCTTCATAGGTAAACATTTTTTTTAAACATGTTTCTATAATTATTGTTTTAATAACTTTTATATTTTAGCCATTTTGTTACACTAGTGAAAGTTGCTCTTGCACATGCGGAAAATTCCAAGTGGTTAAAACATTTAAAGAATCAAATTGAAATAAGTACATACAACTTACAGGATTGTTGTCAAGAAATTGTAAATGTATTATCGTCATGCAATGTACTAGAGGTGGCAACAAAATACGAGCAAGGTTCCAGTTCTTGGTCAGAAGAAAGAAAATTAAGAATTACAGGTATGTAAATAAAATAATATGTATTGTCTATTTTCTATCGGTTTAATTTTTGTCAGGCTCAACATGCTACTCAATTTTTACTTTTAAAAAGGAAGATGAATGGGAGAATAAAGCCAAAAAGTTATTTTTTCCCAAACATTTTACGAATAAATTTGTTGAACATGGAAGAAGATATGAGAAAGAAGCCTTGGAGGCTTTTAAAAAAGAATGTGAGGATGAAATCGTAACTCCTGGATTAGTAGTTTCAACAACATTTCCATGGCTGGGATTTTCTCCTGATGGTGTTGTTTTTGAGAATGATACCCCACGACATTACTCGAAATAAAGTGCCCATTTATTGGTAATTCTTGTCAATTCTTATTTTGTTGGATTAATTCCTAATAACTCTTAACTTATTATTTTAGGAAAAAGATAATCCACCTGAGAAATTTTCGGAATGTGATTTCGTAACTAAAATTGGAACGGAAATGAAGCTGAAAGAGGCACATTCTTATTATGGCCAGGTTCAATTGGGGATGGCTCTTCTTTGGGTTTAAGAAATACAAAATTAATTTTGTATTCGAGTTTTTCAAAATCATTCATAAAAATTAATGTTAATTTTAATGAAACTTTGCAGAGTTATTGATTAAAAGAATCACAGAAAATTATTTTAGGCATATGTTGCATTATTATTGTTTAAATAAATGATATCTTAAAAATTATGTGTTTATTTATGGGTATACATTCTATATTAAAAAAATAATAATTACTATGTACCAAAATTTTCATGCTTAAATAATAGAAATTCAGTTATATTAAAATGCAAACTAATAAAGAAAATTATTTTAGGTATATATGTTGCGTTATTATTGTTTAAATAAATATCTTATAAATGATGTGTTTATCTAAGGGTGTACATTCTATAAACTAAAAAAATACAACAAAATTTTCATACTTAAATAATAGAAATTCAGTAACATATAAAATACAGCTTAAGTCATTCACGAATTTTATTGTCTGCTAGTATCGGTGTTGATAAATTTACAACTGATGCGATTACAGTCATTATATCATCCACATATGGTAATAAATACCAATTAAACTGTTCGCTCAAGATTTTAAACACTTTTATTCTTTGTATAGCCCTTTCTACATGCACTCGGGCACGAGCAATATCAGCTGTAGCCTCAGCATCTTCTTTGAAAACTGCTTCTGTTTCCTTAGAAAAGGTGGCCTAATTAATTTCACCAATTTTTCCTCGCATTCCTTTTGAATTAAAATACCCTTGTCAACCATAACTGCATCATACATATCAATTTTATCAATAACGTTTTCATAATTAAAAATCGCTTTATCTGTAGTGCGACCACCATATCCAGCACTGATAAAGGATATTAATCCCGATGGGGTTATTCCTATTAGATACTTGATAGTATGTGTTCCCTTGTAATGGGAGTACGTCCTGACTCTACATTTTAAACATTTCAGTTTTTGAATTTTCAGCTCTGTACAGTCAAGGACAACTCAGGTATCTCTATATTTGTCGAAACACTTTGGCATATTACTTAAGATCTCCTCCTTACTTGGCCAATATATACCCGGTTTTAAGCTGACGGCCAGGAGACTTATAGTGGAGTAGAACATATTCCTACACATACTTTTACTTACTTTAAATAAAGTAGCCAAACATACAAATGAAATATTCATTTTCAATTTGCAGAGACACAAAATTAGTCTTGTCCTGATGTCTTTCCAGAGGCACTTGTTAAAAGTAGCTGTTTTCTCAGTACATTTTGTAATTGTATTTAATATATCAAAATTAATCCCAGTAAAATTAATCAATTTCTCATCTGTATTTAAAATTTGAGGCAATTCAAAAAGTCACTGAAATTTGTTTCTGTTGAGGCATCTTTATAAAATATAAGTGAATGTTGAGCTTCATACGTGCTAGCACTAATTAAGGTTTTGGTTCATCAACAGTTCTAGCAAGTTGAGTAGCATGTTCTTTTGCTTCACTGACACATTGAGCATCAACTTCTAGCGAAATTTCATGCTCTTCTACTTCTACATTTTCATCAACATTTAATGTGCATTTTTGTAGCCAATGTCGCTCCGATCTGGACTTTATTTTCTTTTTTAATGAATGGCTCGTCTTTGGGATTTTTTGACTAGGAAGTACTAGTTTCTCTAACCGACGTCGCTTATTTGTTGCTAAAAGTAGAGTAAAGATATTATTTAAAACCAAACATGTCGATTACACATTCCATATCTTACCTATAGTGAAATCATTTTCTGTAAAATGAAGGCTACAAACTAACATATATTTTGTTATCGGCTTTCCAATTTTCAATATGTTTTGCCAGATTTTACATAGCTTAGGATCTTGAGGAAAAGCATGCAATGAAACATCTGCTGTACAATATGATGAACATTGAGGCACTGAACATATTTTTCTAGATTTGGTGTCTACTGTTTTATGAACAGACTGCATTTTCCTTCAAAATTTATACCAAACTATACAAAACTAAAATAATTTCTAGTAAGTACATACTAATGGTAAGCGATCTTTCACCACTTGAAAGATCGCTTACCAAAACAACTAAATTTAAATGCAGAAAAGTTTTAAAAATCCTCAAAAGAAATTTCTTGGCTAACCTCATATAACTTGTAACACCGATTCCGAGGATTCAAATGTACATACGGGACAGAATCTTTATTTATATCTTAAAATTCACTCCAAACATTAATATTTAAAACAAATTGTATGTAAAAACTGCTTATTTACACTGATTTGAACAAAAAATAAAATTAACTTAAAAAACCTACACGACAAATAATACTAATTTTTGTTTGTTGTTCACCTCTATACTAGTATTCAAATTTGACAGTAGGTGTCGCCCACTTTGTGAATTTTACCAATTAAATATATTGAGATCTATAGATCACTAGTGGGTTCAGGGTGAAAACTAGACGAAGGAAGAATGCGATGTTACCATAGGTTTTAAAAATTCCTAGTTATTCTATAATACTGCATAGTATACGCAGAGGGTGTAACAGTAGGGAGATGGGCTATAATATAGAGTTCCTCATACGTTATTGCATTAGATCAGTCGAGTACCGCGCTTCGTTCAGTGAACATAGCAGCTCTCATAGTAAATTCGCTCCCGGTATTGTACCGCGCCGGCAGTGCAGTGTATTAGTGTAGTGATTTATCCCCAGGAACAATTTTCAGGTAAGTGAATATTTTATATTATTATTGTTTTGCCATCCAACAACCCCTTCGCATCCCTGGACGTCGTCCGGGGACTCCCCAAAATGAGCCTTAGTGGTTCATCAACTTCTTCCTCCACAACTCCCACTAATGATATCCCAATGGAATCAGACGATTCCATTTCGTACGAAACCGATTCGAGCGACACTCGTCCTCGCATCCACCCAGATGATCTAGACGATATCCAGTCTAAATATTTCAAACTTTTAGACGAATTAGAGCGTCTTCGCGAAACTCTCCTGTCAAATGGTCGTCAAATTCAAAAACTCCAAAGGAAAAGCCAGAGGGTCCTAGCCCCAAGAGGAAGGTCCTTAAAAAGAAGAGGGCATGTCAGAGTAATTCTGACGACTCCTTCTCTTCAGTAAAAACCAAGAAAATAGCAGAGAGGGCTGCTTCCCCCCAACATGAAAATTTCCCCCCGCTCCCCACTCCAGGCCCATCTTCCTCAGGTCCATCTTCCTCCGGTACCTCTGAGGAAGATCCAAAAATTCGTCCCAGCAGCCCTGCTAGACAGGCTCCTGCAGAAATTACTCCCTCTGCTGCTCCTCAAACGCAGCAAGAAAAACCTACCCAATAGACATCCACTAAGCCCACTCCAATAGTTCTGAGAGATACTCGACTGTGGTCGAGTATAACTCGCAGACGGTATAAAAATTAGCCCCGCCACTATCGCCGATCACAGGCTCATAACAGCTTACTTCAAGTGTCAGAAGATAAGTTATTATAAATTTTTTCTCCCTGAAGAAAGGGACCTAAATATCGTAATTAAAAACATCGAAACTGACATCGAGAATGAAATGATCATCGACGACTTGACCTCTCAAGGGTTCGAAGTCAAGGAAATTCATCGCCTTACCCGTAAAGGTAAGCCCCTTCCAGTAGTAAAAATCCGAATCCCCCGTAATCAGACTCATATTTTCCAAGTCCGTAGTCTTCAGATATTGCCGAAGAGTTAAAAAAAATGTCTTCTCTAAATGGTGAAGAAATCTTAAATTCCCTTCCGGACTGCGAAGATCCAAACTACACATTTATTAGATTTTAAAGATCTCGATTAGATTTTGAAGATCTCGTTCAAAACGAGAGTGGAGACAACAGGAAATATCAAGAAAAAGAAGAAGAATCAAGAATATCGAAGGAACACCATTCGCCCGGCTCAGCTCTACAAAATTTAAAGCGAATGTTGACGATGGATGAAACTAATACGGAGAAGAGAAGAAAGAAAACAGTATCTCCATCATCATCAACAACATTTGCTACATTGTCGGGGTCTTTGTCATCACATCGTGTCGCACCATCACCTGTGGAGAAGCTTGGTTTGGCGCAACACATCCAGATATGGATGAAGACCTATAAAAAAAATCAAGAGGATGGTGCAGCCGCGGTGGCGAAGGCTGAAGCGGTAGTGGAGAAGGCAGAGGAAGCCCTAAAGCGAGCCAAATTGGAGCTTGATGCTCAAAAAAAATGAGCATCCAAAAATCTCAAAAGGACGGCCTAGCGGCAATGTTTATTGAAAATTAATATTTTTTTATGTATAAGTGTAATTTTTAGTATATTTTTTTTGTTTGCAATAATATATTTTTTTTGTATATAGTAATATGTATAATTTTGTATAATAGTATTGTAATAGTGTAATAGTATTTTGTATAGTTAATAAAATAGTAAAAAAAAAAGTATTTTGTATAGGTAGTTAAATTTATAAATTAAAAATTTTAAATTTTTTTCTTGTATATAGTTAAAAATTATAAAATATAATAATCTTAGAACAATCTTATTATAAATAAAAAAATCTTAGAACCCCATATACATTAGTTTAATTTATTTTTATGAGATATATTCCATAGATAAAATAAAAGAAAATTACTTTTTTTTGTATATAGTTAAAAATTATGAAATAAAATAATCTTAGAACAATCTCACTATAAATAAAAAAAATCTTAGAACCCCATATATATTAATTTAATTTATTTTTATGAGTTATATTCTATATACAGGGTGTCCCAGAAATAAGTGCAAATATTTTAACTGGTAGTATAGTTCAACCCCAGAAACACGCCTATGAGGTTTTTTTCGCGAATAAAAATTTTTGAAAATTCGGAATTTTTTGAAAATTTTTTTGGAAATTTTTTTAGTTTTTATTTAAAAAACATAATTTCTTGATAATATGGCAACATAGGTAGTAGATTAAATTTACAAGAAAGAAAATCCACAAAAAATCAAGTGGTTCTCAAAATTTAAGCAAAAAATCATTTTTTTTGGAAATTTTCAAAGTAAAATAACTCCGTTATTTTGGACTTATTTGAAAAACGTTAAAGAGAAAATATGTTTCTTTTATCGAGATCTACCACCCCTTAAAATATTTGCACTTATTTCTGGGACACCCTGTATATTTTTTTTTTCTTTTTATATATTATATATATTTCTTTTTATTTCTATATAATAATATATTCATATTTCTATAGATAAAAAAAGAAAATTACGTTGGATATTCCCTTTGTAAAAGAAAGCCTAACAATAAAAAAATTAAATCTTGAAAAACCACCCTTATCGGGGATTGAACCAAGAACAGAAAGGCAAAAATCAAAACTATTAGCGCCGTATAAGACGTATAAGTAGCGTATGTAAAATTTCTTGGAACGTCTAAACCTGAAAACACCTGCCCGACGGGTGGTCCTTACCTATTGTAAAATTGATTGACGTTGAACCAAATTTTGAAAAATCAGTAGCTTAAGTATCCTTTTAGTACCAACTTCCCACATTATCTACGCCAAGATAAATATTCTTTTGAAACTGAAACATCTGGCACACCTGAAAACGTTCTCTGTTGTAAAATGGGTCGATAACGAACCGAACCTTTTTTTTTGGCTGACAATCCACCCTCGCAAACACCTGCCCGACGGGTGGTCCTTCCCTGTTGTAAAATTGATTGACGTCGAAGTAAGTTTTGAAAATTCAGTAGTTTAAGTACCATCTTATCCACTTATCACATTCTCTTCGCAAAGGTAAATATTCTTTTGAAACTGAAACACCTGGCCAACGGGTGGTTCTTTTGTTAAAACTGGATTTCGCATATGAAAAAAAAATTTTGGATCGTTGGCCAAGCACGAAAAATTAGGATATCATTCTAGTCGTGCAAAAATGTACAGAGAAAATACAAGAAAACCACATCTCATTCAGAACCTGGAACCGTTTCAAAACAACTGATGTCATTTCAGGAGTTACAACTTTCCGAAAACCGGGAATACATGAAAAAATTGGTCGACAAAATTTTAGTTTTGTTACGACAAGTTGTTGAGAGAACATTGAGAAGACATTTCCTCAAAAAGTAGGTAAAACTTTTTGGAAATGACGGAATTATTTTCTGTTAGTTACTGTAGTCCCAAGGTGCAGAACGAAATAATCAAAATTGTTTCTCAGCTTTCTCTGCAAAAAATTGTTTTGAAAATCAAAAATTATTGAAACATGAGTTTGATGGCTGACGAAGCCCGACATTTTAAAGAGGAACAGCTATCAATAGTTGTTAGATTTGCGAAAGGTTTGGAAGTAGAAGAAAGATTTCTGAAATTTATTGATTGTTCCAATTCCAAAGAAGCCCAAAGTGCAGCAAACACTTTTTTGGATTTTGTAAAACAAAACAATCAAGTTTGGATTATATATTACAAACGTAGGGAAAATATTTGTTACATTTTCATATTTAGATATTACCAAACAACAATAACTCAAGCAGGTCATCAATGTATCATAATAACCTAGTCACAGTAACCCAGTTAGAATAACCAATGTTACAATTTATTGTTTTGATGAGCAATATTATATTAACATCAATGTTACCATGTCGCAGATTCGGCACTAATAAAGTATTGAATAAACGAACGTCCAACGAAACACATGAGTATTTTTTCGAACAACTTTACATGGCGATCCTGCCAGTCTTAAATGATTTTAGGCAAGATTTTGTGGTAGATAACACGGCGGCGAAAGTGATGGGATCGAAACAGACTAAGCAAGAAGTCCAAGAAAATGGGGTAGTGAATTCAAACTTTATTGTGCAAGAGCAAGAATACAACGTCAACAAGAACGTAAAAATTATTTTATACTTAATCGTAGTGCTCCTAGTGATAAATTTAGGCCTCAAGCTATGGGGAAGTTATAGGAGACAAATGAAAAGGAGAATTCGACGGGAAGTAGCTGCCTCGAACGCGTCAATTAGTGCCGTTTAGATGACACGATATCAGTATCAGCTTAGCCACTAGGTTCATGTTCATGCACTAAGTTAGCTGCCACGAAATATGTGTTAAGTATCTAAAAGACTTGTACGTGTATCCAGTCGATTTTGGGCCATTAACTTGGCCACAACGGGAACTTCAACTGGCACCCAAACCGGGGTAGCTTACGATTTAAACAAGGAATGGAAGAATACACTGGCGGAATTTCCTATAGCATGGATGGAGAGAATTTAGACGGGCGCTAAAATCAGCAAAGGAATTACAAATGTCATCACGCCAACTGAAAACTGTTAGGAATATCTCTAAGCAAACTGTCTTAAAACAATCCAGACCCCAAACCTCGACATCTTTAAACTTCAGCAGTCTGTCTCGTTATCAGTTGGGAGCTAGGCGCGGGCGAACTTTCGACACCAAATTGTGTTTGTACCTGGGGTAATCGAGGGGTCAAATTTTATTATAGGAAATTTCGACACCGCGCCCTAAAGCAGGTAGGTAGGTAATTAATTGGGTTTCCCCAATATTTATTGTCACTTCTGTACTTGTGACTAAATTTACACGAAAATTATTCAGTTGAGTTTATTGTTTGACGTTGACTAGTGCACTTATAGATATTTTAAACATGAGTTTGATAAAAAGTTCCCGTGGTCGAGATTTATTAGTGGTGGAGAATCATTCGTTCTCAAAACAGAAAGTGTTAAAAAGCGGCGAGATATTTTGGCGCTGCATTCAAAGAAACACTAAGTGTTCCGCAAAAGTGTTTACAATAGGCTGTAATGACCTCACCATCACAAGACGTGATTTGGTACATAATCATGAAGCCGATCCGAAAAAGCTTCAAGTAAAGATGGTTACCAATGCATGTAAAAGAAAAGCCGAAGAGGATATATCAGAAAAGCCTGCAAAAATTACAAGAACTGCTGTTACTGAGTGTGATGCCAATTTGCTAACGGTTCCTGACATAGCTTGCATAAGAAAAAACATTTACAACTGTCGTCGTAAACTGTTACCAGGTCCGTTACCTAGAAGCATATCAGAAGTTCATAACGCGGTTAGTAATTATTCTCCTAAAACCTGTCGCAATGAAAGTTTTTTGTTTTTAAATCATCCTGAATTTAATGTAATTGTATTTTCATGCGAGACAAATATTCGTTTGTTGTGTAAACTACAAACTTTGTATATGGATGGTACATTTTCATACAGTACCAAATTTTTTCTCCAATTATTTACAATACATGGCTTTGAAAATGGACATTATGTACCTTTAGCATACTGTTTGTTAAAGGACAAATTGTCAATGACATACAAACATTTATTTTCTTTATTAAAGTCAAAGATTTTTGAAACATTTGAGTTATCATTAGAGCCAACTGAAATATTTGTGGACTTTGAAAAAGCAATTCACTGTGCTTTATTGTCTATGTGGCCAAATGTAAAAATTAGTGGATGCCGTTTTCACTTACATCAGAACTGGTTTAAAAAAATTCAATCTTTGGGTTTGGTACAAGAATATAAGGATACAAATTCAGAAATTGGAAAATGGTTAAGACATACGTTTGGTTTAACTTATTTAAATCCAGTAGATGTTGAAGATTGCTTTGTTTATGATCTTATGTCATATAAACCTAAAAACGCGTCACTTGATTTATATGCAGACTATTTACTGGAAAATTACATAATCGATAGCGCTCTATTTCCACCGCACATATGGTCTAATCAGAATCCGTCTATTGCGAGGACTACGAATGCCTGTGAATCCTTTCATTCAAGATTTAATACTTCTTTTTATTCAACGCATCCTTCTATTTTTATTTTTATTGAAAAGTTAAAAGAATTTCAAGTAGAGACTTATGTCAAAATAAATAGTTTAAAAATACCAGCAAAAGTCAAAGATAATACCGTTAAGGCTAAATTGGTATTTATGGAGAAAATGGTGGATAAACTACGATCCCAACAAATATGTAGGTTAGATTTTATAAAAGCTATGTCTTACCATTCCTATAATACCAAATAAATTGTATTGTATTCAGATATTATTAATAAGTATTGTATTCAGATATTATTAATTTTAAAAATATAAAATGTACATTATTTTTATTAAAATAAATATATAAATTAATTATGATATTTTATTTATTTCGCAGCTATATTTATTTGGTGTCGAATATACCTGTCAGATAAAAACGGAACTTGGGGCTGGTGTCGAAAATTGCCATTAAATTTTAGTCGCTACCTGCTTAGTGTCGAAATTTCCTCCGCCCGGAGCTAGACAAGGCGGAAAAAATACTCCAAAAGTTCCCCGCAGCCGACAACGTATACGTTAACTCTATAAATGAGAATTGTGATAAAAAATGAAAGAAACGATAAGAGTTCTATACTTAGAAAATATCCACAGCGGATTGGTTACCTTCAAAAAACCCATGCACCCATGGTCACCTGACAAACAGCTTTTGTGAAGTCAGCATCCGTCTCTTCAAGGACTATATATATATTCTTTTATATATTATTCGTATTCTTTCGTTCTAATACGAAATAAGGCGTACAACATTTTAGCCCTGACAGATTTTATTGTTACTTGTTTAGAAGAGTATTACCAAAAACGGATTAGAAATTTTGTTCACTCCTGAAATCCTAAAGCAAGATTACTAACTAAAAAAAAATCATCAGAAAAAAAGGGACGTGTAAAATGGAATATTGAAAAATTGTATGAAATTCCAAGTACAGGGTGGGGCATAGAAACTTCCTTTTTTTGCGATCACACTGTAACAGCAGTTGAGATCGTAGAAGAGTGGGGAAACAGGCGCTGAACGCAGGCACTCGGCAACTTTTGTTTTGTATACGCTGCAGTCGTAAAAATGAGGTGGACAAGAGAACAGCGTGCATTTGCAGTGGAAGCGTATTTTTCGAGCAATTCATTTGTAGCGGTGCAACGAGCGTTCCGTGTCCGCTTTGGGATTCAGCCCAGGGGTTCAGTTCCCGACCGTAAGTCAATTCTTTTGTGGGTAGAGAACTTCAGAACAACCGGAAATGTGATCAAAAAAGGCCCGGGACGACAAAAGACCGTTACAACGCCAGATAATGTTGAGGCAGTTCGACAGTCCATTCTGAGATCTCCAAGGCGCTCTGCTCGCAAGCATGCGGCAGCCCTAGGAATATCTAACCGATCAATGCGTCGAATACTTCACAAAGAGCTTCACTTTCATCCATACAAAATGGTTGTTGTGCAAGAACTGTTACCCCGTGATTTTCATAACCGCGTAACGGCATGCGAAACTTTATTGGAAGATTTACCCCATGACGCACTGGTTTTCTTTAGTGATGCAGCACATTTTCACCTATCCGGCTGCGTCAATAAGCAAAATATGCGCTATTGGAGTGACAATAACCCTCGGGAACTTCATGAGAGGCCCCTGCACAGTGATAGAGTGACAGTCTGGTGCGCGATGTCTAGAAATGGGATTATTGGTCCTTTTTTCTTCGAGGATGATAATGGAGGAGCAGTTACCGTCAATTCACAGCGGTATGTGAACATGTTGCAAACTTTTTTTGCACCACGTCTTGAAGAAATGGAACGAGAAAATGTGTGGTTTCAACAGGATGGTGCAACCGCCCACACATCCCGTGCTTGTATGGAAGTTTTAAGGGCAATGTTCCCCGGGCGACTCATCTCTCTTCGGGGTGACATCACCTGGCCAGCGCGCTCGCCTGATATAGCCCCCTGCGATTTTTTTTTGTGGGGATATCTAAAAGCGGAGGTTTTTAAACATCGCCCCACAACCCTTCTGCAGCTAAAAAATTGTATTCGGCAAGAAATAGCTCAAATTCCACTAGCTATGTTGGAACGTGTAATGGGAAGCTTTCAAAATCGAGTACAACAATGCATAGATAATGGAGGGCACCATCTTCAAAACGTTTTGTTTAAAACAATATGAATTAAAACTTTCAATTGCATATATTCATTTTTAGAAAATAAATATTTTTTATAAGCAGTACTTGTTTTTAATTTGCTCTCGGAAAAAAGGAAGTTACTGCGCCCCACCCTGTATGAGCAACAAAAGTGAATTATTTTTTTATGTGGATGGGATCAACGGATCTTGCATTTGTCTAATTGAAAAATTGGGCAGTTTTTGCAAGCGTCAGGCTGCAGTTTACTTTTATTTTGATAATGAAATTTTAAATACTCCTCCAGTGACCTTAAACTCAGAATATTCGATGGCAAAATTAGCGTTTGGGCAGAAGATCCAACCAATTTCTTTTTACGAGTCCTTGCTGATAATAATATTCCGACACTTCTGAAATCCATTACGAAAAAACTATTTCTGTTAATATCAATTTCCCTGAAAATAAAGATATCTCTGATGTTGATGGTAGTAGCGACGCCGACGACAGAAGCTATGGTGTCGAGTCGAGTGATGTGAGTCCTTTGATAAAATAGTTTGGTATTGCGAGGTATTGCAAGGATACCATATGACTTTTGGCATTATCGTGTGGTACAAAACAAAAAGTCATAAAAAAATTAAACCCCATAAAAACAAAAACATCATGGGAGTCGTTTTTAAATACTAGAGGAAGCTCGATTTCCTTGCGTCATAAGACCAACTTGACTATAAAAGTATAGCCAACGTCAATTGAAGAGGTCAGTGCAACAAGAGGCTAAGTCCATATTTGTATGAAATTGAGTTAAGTACCGCCATCTATACGAATTTATCTGTTCTATACGTTGACGAGGTCAAATATGTGACAAGAAGCACCCTTCTACGTGAAAATCCTTATGTCGATATTCTAGTCGATTGTCATTTCAATGCAAGAAGTAGCTAAGTATCGAAAAGTGGCTAACTCCACGGACTTATCCACTTTTTGCTACTGACATTCCAAGATATTCTAACCTACAAATTTTTTGAGAAGTAAATATTGGCGTACCGCCTATAATTTGTAAATTGTTTGAGTTTTTTGTGATTTTAGTCAAGTATCTTTGAAAAAAATGTCAGATATTGGTAAGAATCAATCAATTTTTATGATATTATATTGAAAACAGCTTAAATGTTTACAAAATAAAAAAAGAACATGCGTTAGTGTAAAAAACGATTTAACTATTTTTTGTTTTATTTTAGAATCAAGTTGTAGTGAAGATGTAACTTCGGGCAGAGAGTATGATCCTCACGAAAACAATCGGCGGATTAATGTATCTTAGGGTGACCATACGTACCATTGCGATAAAAACAAGTAGTACAACAAAATATGATTAAAGGTTGATTCTCACTATACCTTCCATATCAGCTCCCTTCCGTTTCCCTTCAGTTTACATAAAATATTATATCATGTAAATGAATAGGACAATGCATCTGTTAACATTTTGCTGATATTTTTATTCTTTCACCTCTTGAGCAAGTATAGGATACTATTAACTTTTTCAAAAGATACATATTTTTAAAATAAAATTTTCGTAAAAATACACGGAGTATTGTAGCTAAGTTCAGGTATCAAAGTTTTTAATACTAAGGTATCAAAGTTTTTAATACTAAATATTTACTGAAGTTTATTTATTGATCAGTTATTAGGTTGCAATAATAAAAATAATACTACCTCATACAGAGTGTCTTAAAAATTTATTTTAAATTATTTCTAGCTATAAACGGCAATAACTTGTTTAATTTCAATAGAACGCCCTGTATATTTTAGGAGAATCAGATGCACAATTTAATTGTCTATCAAATTGTATTACCCTACTTTTTACCTATCCCTTCAAGTTTTCGTATAAAATGCATTTTCTTATAATTTAGACCTCATTTATCAATATACCCATGGAATATTGACATTTTAGATTGTTTTTAAAGCAACAAAGGTACAAAATGTACAGGCTAGTAATATTATTGTTTTTAGCAAAATGATAATATTACTAGCCCATCTGTATGCAAAAAGAAAACTATTTAAATCTTTATAAAAGAGTATACCATTAATTAAATATACCACCATTATTTCCGCCCAAATACTAATTAATTACATACTTAATTATGTTCGTTAATAAATTATTCTAAATAAATGTGGATTTGAATCAGAAATCATATAATAATAAGTTATGAAAATGTATAAATAAACATTTGTCAAAAAATGAAATATCATTTTTAAGGTGTTACTTTTTACCACACTGTTTAATACACATACAAAATTCAGTTTTTTAGTATTTGGAGTAATTATTATTAATCAACGCAAACAGTCAATTAATGTAGTTTGAATACTGGAATCATATTAATTGGTCCTCTTTAACAAATATTTAAACAGTTTCTTTTTAATTTTTAATGAAATAAACAAACTATATCGACAATATTAGTATCTGTACTCTTTAAAAATTTGGTACATCTTTAAAAATAATCTAAATGTCAGTATTCCATGGGTATATTGATAAATGAGTTTTAAATTACAAGAAAATTCATTTTCTACGGAAACTTGAAGAGATAGGTAAAAAATAGTATAATACAATTTGATAGAAAATTAAATTGTGCATCTGATTCGCATAAAATATACAGGGTGTTCCATTTAAATTAAACAAGTTATTGCCGTTTAAAGATATTAATTATTTAAAATAAAATTTTGGACACTCTGTATAAGGTAGTATAATTTTTATTATTGCAGCACAATAACTGATCGATAAATAAACTTCAATAAATATTTAGTATTAAAAACTTTGATACCCTGGGAGAAATGAAGCCTTAAAATTTTGATTGCAATTTCACAAAATTGAAAAGATTTCAAAAACGGTAAGGTTTAAGTGTAATAAACCTTTATCAAACTTACCTTTATTTTAATCGTAGAAACTAAAAATGTAATAATATACAGGGTGTTCCATTTAAAAAAACACAACTTTGATATTTTTTATTTATTTGGGACACTCTGTATCCTGTAAAAATATTTTTAAATTGTAGCTCTAATAGTCCTTCAACGAACCCAAAACTTACAATTTGTAAAAATCTAATCGTTTAGCTACAAAACTCCGTGTCGTATGTAGTGAACAACCCTGTATAAATCGTACAATAAAAAGTATGGAACAGACATAGAACGGAAGCTTACGTATAGCGTCAATACAATAAAAAATACGGAACGGATATGGAATGGAAATGGAAGGTATAGTGAGAATCAACCTTTAATCTGCTGGTCTATAATAAAATATATTCTTTCAAACTGATAAATCAGTGTCAAAAGAATTCTTGTGTCAGTGTCACGTAATTTTTAAAAAATGCCTTTAACTTCAGAGCAAAAATTGATTATATTTACGCGATTAAAGAATGGGGTTCCCATAAGGGGACATTGCAGATGCATTAGGGATAAATAAAAAAACAGTGTTGTTGGCTAAATCCAAAATTCGAGAACATGGAAATATTGTGAGAAACCCAGGTTCTGGTCGCCCAAAAGTTTCCACCGATGACGAAGATATAAATTTAATTAATTATTTAAGGGACAACCATTCGGAACCGCTATTAAGGCTAAAGAAGAATCACATGTTCCTGGATCTTCAATTACAGCTCGAAGAAGAATTCGGGGATTCGAACTCAAAAATAGATGTTCTGCAAACAAAATATATTTAACAGAACTAAATAAACAAAGACGAGTGCAATTTGCTCACGAATATCAAAGGACACTGTCTCCTCAATGAACACCTCAGCAGATTGAAACTAAGAAGAAACGGCGAATGCAGATTCTGTGGGGAAGATGGTTGAAACACCAGTACACCTCATCACTGAGTGCGCCGGAGACGACAAACCATTCGTGCCATGTGAATTTTGGTACGACTGATATTGGAGATGGAGAACTACCCTCTATAAAACCGTCCCAGATACTGGCTTTTGTCAAAGCCCTGGGACTGTATGATGAGTTATGATTCAAGAAAGGGGGACACAATGGATCTGTAAGGTCGAAGTGATTAACCCCCCTCCCACTCATTCTAAATTCATTCTAAAATATGTATATGTTATCTGTGTGTGCATGTGTTGTTGACTTTTAAAAATTAGGATTAAGTTTTAACAAAAAGTACAAATCTACGTTCAGGGTAAGTCATTATTGCTTTATTTTTGTATTTTTAACTGTTTTTACATGTAAATATTATTAATCCTGACAGATGGAACAAGTAGAAGAATCATTATGAAAAAGACCAAGTTAATGGTCCAAACGTCATAAAATAAAAAAAAATTATCAATAAATAATAATTAATGTATTAAATCTTTAAAATATTTATTTACATGACCTCAAACCAAGAATTAAAAGTTATAATATTGTTATAAACAAAATATATAGCCATTTCTATATTTTTACCGTTAGAGTAGAAACTTTAAAAACATTTTGTGAGGAAGCAGATATTGAATACCGCAGATTGTTAAGTAATAGTAAAACTAGGTGGCTTTCTTTGCTTCCTGTCATTGAGAGAATTCTCGAATTATTTGTACCCTTAAAGTCGTATTTTCTATCCATAGATAAATGTCCGGTTTATATTGAATTTTTTTTTTAAATGATACTTCGGAGTTGTGGTTAAAGTTTCTGCATTCTCAGGCCTCTTCGTTTTCGGACTATGTAAAAAATGTGGAAACCAACACAAATACTATTGTCGAGGTTTCCCGCGAAATAAAAAATCTTATTTTAAAACTTAAAGCCAGATTAAATAACGCATTTCTACCCCTTTTTTAACAAGATTTAAAAAAAAACTTCAGAAAGTGATCTTATCAATGAGGCATGGTTTATATCTAATGTAAAAATGTTTTATAAACATTGTTTGGACTACTTAGAAATTTGGTCAGTAAAACTTGTAGAGATTGACTGTTTTGAATGGACTGAGCTAAAAAACGTTGTACACTGGGAAGAAGTTCAAGGTAGTTTGCTTTTTATTAGGGACCACTTTTCTCATGATAAAGAAATTATTGATGAAAATGCTTTATTTGACCAAATT